CCCCCCCCCCCCCCCCCGCCCCCCCCAATCTCACCTTGAATCCTTCAGCGTACAGACATACCCCCCCACCCCCATGAAACGTCACGTTGAAACCGCCAATACATGCATACAGACAGAAATTCCTAGCCACCCTCATCTTGAAACCGCCGATCCACAGACAAAGCCCTCCCCCCTCAATCTCAACCTGAAAACGCCATCGTACAGATCCCCGAAGCTCACCTTGAAACCGTCAACGTACAGGTCCGCCGCCGCGATCGCGCCGCTGACCCCGCCCCCGATCGTCTCCCACTCCCACGACTCCTCGCTGGCCTCCCCGCCCCACATGTCCTCCCCGGGCATCAGCTCCCGACCGTCCTCGCCGCCGGCAGCGCGCTGCCCTCGACCATCATCGCTGTACCCGTAGTAGTCGTTGTCGTCGTCGTAACCATCATCACCATCATCAACCCCGATTTCCTTAGCGCTACCGCTGCCGCCCTTAACCCCTCTGGACCTACTACCCCCCTTCCCACCGGCGGGCCCCCCGGCACCACCACCCCCCTCGGTAATCGTCTCGGGGACCCCCCTCCCGACGTTGGTCCCGTCCACCCGCTCCTTCCCCCAGAGCGCGTACGCCATCGCCCTGAGGTCGCCCTCCCTCCGGGAGGCCAGCTTCCCGCCGCCTTTGGCGCGCTCGTCCCCTTCCCCGCCCCCGTCGGGCAGCCGCGGCTGCAGGTGCGGGGGCAGGTGCCCGCCGATGTGGCCGTTGTGGTGCATCCACGCGAGGTAGGCGTAGCCTCCCGGGTCCCCGTTCTTCACCGCCTCCCACATGAGCTGCGCTCCGCGGTCGGTCAGTGGCGCGGTGGCGGACGGGGGTGTTTTAATATTTTGGAAGCGGATTAAAACGTCGGCGGAACAAAGGAGGTGTGGACAATAGGGAGGGAGAGAGGGAAAGGGGGTGGTGAAAATGTTTGCAACGGGGTGGTGGCCAAAAAAAAAAAAAAAAAGTGATAGAGTAACATAGGGTGGTTGGTCCATATCGATGTGGTGACTGCCGCTGGTAGCAAATGTGGTGAACGTGCGCGCATGGCAACGGACTTGAGATATATACACGGGGGGCATCATGGGGGGGGCGGGGCGCGTAGTAAAAAAAACGGGCAATACGACAGTTCTAGAGTCGGGATAGACATCGACGCAGAAATGGCGCCCTTCTTTAGTCACGAGGAAGGCACGGCGACGCGTGTACCTACAAACAACGTTTGTCTCTCTCCCCCCCTCTCTCTCCTGATCCCACCTGTTCCGCTTTCGCGAAGTCCGGGGTGATGCCCATCTCCTCGGAACCGACCATGTGGAGGTACCCCATCATCATCGTAGCGGAGGGCTGACCATCGCAATGTACGTCATCGCCAATCCAGTATCGCATCATGTACAAACAAACCGCAACCACGGGCGGATGGCAGCGAGAGGTTACATTTTGATCGTGCTCCCGATGATTTCGGATTCGTCTTTTGACAGCGTTGCGGAGAAACGAACAAAAAATACATACACGTGCCGACGGCGGAGGCATCTCGTCACACGAACGGGCTGAAAATTTCCCATACGGCAGCACAATACGAGAGAGCAAAAACGAAAGAGGGTCAGCGGCAACACTCTCTCCAACCCCCAACAAGACACACAGCAGTTGCTGGTGTTTGTAGGGTGGCGACACTGGACGTGCTGCAAAATGTGTCCCAGAACCCCCCCCTCCGAAAGCATGCATTTGCAAAAAAGTCTTATCCATATAGGGGGGGATAAAAACACTCACATCGCCAGCTTCTGCCCTCAGCAGCGCATCGTCCGCAAAAGCCATATCCCCTCGCGCCGGTCCGCCTTGTCCGCCACCACCCCCTCCACCTCCGCCCGCTGCGGCGCCCCCAGGAAGGTAACCTAACCCCCCGGCACCGTCACCCCTTCCGCCGCCGCCGCCGCCGGCCACGCCCCATGCCCCCAAGCCATGCTCGACGCCGAGGCGAAACACGTCCGCGGGAGGGTATAGATCCTGGGAGGCGTCCTCCAAGCCCTGTAGGGGGGTCGTGGGTGAATTGGGGGGGGGGGGGGGGGGGGGAACCCA